CCTAATTAACAGTGGGTTTATAATCAACCTGTCAACCCGTGAAATGTGACCTACTAGAAATATTTACTATTTAATTTTCAATTATTATTATTATTAATAAATATGTGGCCGCATATATTGACATATTCTGTTCTATTCTATCATGCACCTTAGGGTTGTGAATTTCAACCCACCCAAATAAAAACCCTTAGCCAAAGTCGATCTCCTCATCATTCTAATTCTCATCTCGATTTTGAATTATGTATCCTCCTAAACATGTGAAATGTATAATAATTTGTTAAACAAGTTGTGAAACGAATTTCAACCCACTCAAATAAAAACCCTTAGCTAAAGTCGATCTCCTCATCATTTTAATTCTCATCTCGATTTTGAATTATGTCTCCTCTTAAACATGTGAAATGTATAATAATTTGTTAAACAAGTTGTGAATTGGATTTCAACCCACCCAAATAATTTGTTAACCTGCAGTAACAAGGGTGAAAAACGTCTTTAATTTTTCTGCCTTACTCGGCTCTTAGACCCCTTCTGAGATCATCCCACACAAACCTCTTCATACTGGCTCTCTTTTACGCAGAGGAACAAGTGACAACTCTCACACACTCAAAAAAACTTGCACTATCAAGTAAACAAACACCAAGTTGTCACCCCCAACCGTTAGGATTTGCTGGCAGCACCATACTTTGCCATCTCATGCATGCAACTTGCTCAAATAACTGCTCATGGCCTTGCTGACACCTCCCTAGCATGTACTACATACTTAGTGGGAGTTTTCCACGCCTAAAAACTCGCCCATGAAGTCTGGGGCATGCTGCAACTATCAGTAACCCCCCATAACTGCTTGCACACATGTCCCATGCTTGGATATATTATTCTAAAAAAACCAAAGAAAAAAAGAAGGGAAGGGTAGGGTAGGGTAGGGTAGGGATTAGTTACAGAGATTTGATGGGTTGACTTGAAGTGATGAATGCTTTGGCCCCGGCATCTAAAGGTAGGGAAGTCAAACAAGGGAAGGAAGAGAGGGCCAACTCCTTTGGAACTCTTTTTTTCTTTTTCTTTGTTTTGTTTTGTTATTTATTCAATTTTTTTTATACAAATAATATTCTAATTAGTTTAATCTAAATTACAAGGAGGGGATTTCGAACTCAGATGCAAAGTGGGAAGCACACATCCATTCTAGTCAACTTGGCTAAACCTATATATGTGTTTTCTATTCAATATTAATTAGGTAGAGTTTCCTAATGAATTTAAAGTCTATGACAAGGCAACAGGAAAGAAATTGAGTCTTTTCAGCTAATTTGCTCACACTTCACATCTTTCTCTAAAAAAGGAATTGGGGATAAGTAAAAAATAGAAATAAAAAAAAAGGGGGGAAATGGAGTGTCACAAGCAAGCATTCTTACAATCGTAAGAAAGCACTACTATACTAGCCCCAAAGTCTCTGAAACATTATCATGTTCATAAGGTGACCCCATTGCAATATGACTTTCGTTGGGGCTTAAACCTAGTGACAATTAATATATTCACATTAACATACAGTACGTTTTTTGAGCAAACATGACTATTTGGGTGGAAACATGACCCTCCTTTTGGAGGAGTAGTGGTTCCCTTTGGTGCATTTTTAATTTGTCATTACAATATATATATATATGTGTATATATAACGTAAGTCTTGAGACTCTTCGATTTTCATCCATTACTAATTGATTTTGAATTGGACGTGGTATCACAATTTGCTTGTCTGGTTAGGCGACAAGTATTTCAACACTCTAATCAGAGGTGTATTGTGCATAGACAACAATTACATATATGATATATGCGGAACTATTGGAGTGTTTATTTTCCTCAGATGTGCCTAGCTCTGAAAATGACAAGAGCAAAGAAATCCAAATCAAGCACTATAAATGAAAATGGATCAAAATCATTGTCTGCCCTTTGAAGGGGAGGGAAGGGTAAAGAGTGTTAGTGGGTTCAAGCCAATAGAATCAATGGAATCGATAAAGCTAAACTACTATTTCAGTGGGATTCCCTGGATCAAGTCCATCCAGACTGAGTTCAATCTCATTATCATCAAGTAAGATATGTCGGTGATCATGGACAACCCAGCCAACCACCACGGATGACCCACAAGACTAGCAAGAGGCCACAATTGCAACAACTGCAAGCTCAGGCCCCATGGGATTGCTAGGGAACAATGTATTGGTTGACCAAATTTGTGTGTGCGCGCTAGCTAAAACTACAGAATCTGAGTTTGAAGACCACAAGTTCATGCAGAATTTGTGGAGGCAAATGATAGAAATTACTGCAGATGATGAGGCTTTTTTGTTACTTCTTTCGGTGAGGCTATTGATGCTACATGAGGAGAAACACTTGTGTGAAACAGAGATAGTACTATTTTGTTGTTCCCGATTAATCACGGCATGATAGAAATATATATTGCATGTGATGCTTTTTTGTTGCTTCTTTCGGTGAGGCCACTGATGCTACATGAGAGCCTTGAATTTTGTGTTTCAAGTTTCAACTGTGTTTAGTCAAGTGTGGATTCCAAGTATATGATTTTGATGTCCCAATTATAGCAAATGTAACAACAAAGTCCGGCACTAGAAGGTGGAAAAGAAAATTGCACTAGGATGTATATATGATATAAGTAATTTGCCAATAAATATGCTCATACTTATTTATTTTCAAGTGATCAGCGCTAGTCTATGAAAAATGTCTTATCTTGATGAGTGCATATTTTCCATGTTTGTCATTATTTTGTCCCCTCAAACGCCTACTTGCCTAATTATTACTGAGTGCACAGCCTCTTGGACTCTTAGAGGGTCTTGGTCTAGGAGGGATTAATGGGGTTTGATGAATATGTGAAATGTAAGGCTGTATAGTTCCTTGGATATTAAGTCAATTTGATATATTCTACAAGTTTGTTTGATTGGAGAAAGACTCTCAAATTTTACGAGCAATATTAGGAAAGGGAGATTCAAACACACGACTTTGAATGTAGAGTTAACTACTTTTAACTACTTAAGCTACAAACCCCGTGCTAAATTTTACATTCTTAAAATATGTATGATTATGCCCTAATGCATATATAATGGTTGGTTCCCCTTATGGATTGAAAATAACAAAGAATTGGGCAAAATTGTGTGCGCTCTGTTTTAGACTGATCAAGTGAGTGAAGGCTTTGTTTCTAAAGCCTCATGATTAATATGGAGACTCTGTATACGGGGAGGATCTTAATTAATAACCACATATTAGATTGTGCATATAACAACCTTGGTTTTCGTGGCTGTCAAAGGTGTACATTTTTTTTCAATTCGCCATCAATAACAGCAAAAACTTCACCAAAAAGTTGCAGTTAATTCCAAAAAAGTAAAACACAAGAATTTGTTAAACTAGCAGCGACTGGACTTGAACATGGGCTGAGTAGAGTTGGGCCACATGTAATCTTAAGGTAGCATGATGATGATTTGAGGCTTAAACCCACCTGGATACATCAGGCCTGATATTCTTGCTCAAATTGTGACTTTGATGTAAATATTGAAAATTGAAATTCATGCACATCTTGTGATGTATAATCCGTGTGTATACACATCGATGTATGTATACAGTGACGGATTCAGAAATTTTCCTTTGCAAGAGCAAGGTGAAGGCTACATGCCACTTTGCCCATTTGCCAATAGCCAACCTCTTCGAGGTATTTTGTTCAACATCTTGCCTCATGATAGCCATATATAATCAACAAGAACATCGGATAATTTCATGCATAGAGACAATGAGGAGTAGGGGCAATTGCGTTCACCGGCCCTAATGTGGATCTACAATAGTGTCAGTGTGGAGATTTTGTGCTCCCACGACTTCCTTGTAGTGTCTCTTCATGTGGAGTTGTAGTTGTGATGTTCTTTTCACACTACGTATTAAAATTTATAATTTTGGGGGAGTGGGGCAGCTGAAGTGGGTCGTTTAACTAACATATTTGGTTTGGACAATGAAATAAAGAGAGCTCTAGTCATCTCATCTGAAATTCATCAGGGGTGGGGATGCTCCTGTAAGATTCCCGCAATAGAAACCAACAATATATATACACACACAAACTCACATCAGAAAAGACAATATTGTTTTGCATGCTTACTAATATTAAACAGGATGATTAATTAGTTTATAAACTCTTGGGTAATATAATTAATTAATTAATTAATTTCTAGATGCTGCAGCAGGTACAGAGCATGGCATATATACCTGTAGTGAAATTACTATAATAACCAGCAAACTTTTTTATCAACAAATAATAATAATAATAATAAAAACCATCATCTACAGCTCCATTTCTATTCTTTCCATATGGCCAAAGCATACGGTGGTGGTGGTGATTGATGATATATGTGTAGGAATTGAGTATGACATGACTAGCATAAATCTCTCTCTCTCTCCTTTTTTTTTTCTTTTCCTTTTGAAAGAAATGTTTTGAGGAGGTTTCTGCAGAGAATTAAAAAAAATATATGAGACAAATTTCTGCAGAGAATAATAAAAAAAATATGAGACAAATATGAATAAGGAGTACAAAATACACGGATTGTAAACAGAGCCATCCCAATAATAATATAGCAAATATTGATAAAACTTCCCTAATGACTAGAGTCAGACGAGAAGCTGTAATTATCTGAAGAGAATAATCAAATTAATACAAGGTAGTGTTGATAAAAAAGAAAGAAAAAAAAAAGAAAGAAAGAGAAATCAAGCAAGCAGCTCATAGTAACAATATTATAATTAATGTCATATATACTTGCAAAAAGTAATTAGTACACATTTACAATATGGTTAATTCATTAATCATCATCATCCCTAGTCAAGTAGAGAGACAGGGAGATGCACTATGAAAGTAAAAGGAAAATTTAAAAAAGGTAATAATTAAAGAGGCAGACACTAAAGCAAGCCCATGTACTAATTACGTATTATAAAACAACAGATATATAATAATAATTAAAGTGGTAGCTAGCATGCAAATTAAGGTAGGTAGCTAACATGACCACAAAGACTCTCCCATATTGGCCTGATCAACCACCATGTCCATGGTAAAAAAGGATTTGGTGGTCTGATGATTATGATGATGAGAATGATTAGGAGCCGTTGATTTTTGATCAGGTGAACAAGTGGTGGTGGTGGCAGCATTGGATGTTGCTGATGAAGTTGAGAATTGGCCCATTCTCATGTGCACCACCTCAGCTTGAGCAATGGCCAATTGGGTTTGGAGGGCATCGATTTGTTGTTGTAAAGATGAGATTGCTCCTACACAGCCGTACACTGGATCCCTCACTCTGGCATTTGCTTCATACACCATGGAGCTCACTGCATCACTGCGCTGGTGCTCTGGTAATTCCTAGTTAATTATATCCATTAATTATTATGTCAATGAAACTTAATCTTGATAAAGCACTTGAGAAAATGAAAAAAGAGAGAGAAGAATTTGCTTTAATTTTCTTGGGAAAAACAAAGTTGGCAAAAAGAAAAATAAAAAAGTTATCTTAATTATGAGCATCAAGATGCAGAAGAATTTCAACAAAAGACACCAACCAAAGTGGTGGAGCTATTTTCCCACTCCAAATGCATCATAATCAACAATTCTGTTTCATATAGACAAAAGAATAATAATAATTTTGTTTGCCGGGACGTGCGTATATAATTTATTTTTCTTTTTATTACTGATATTTTCTTGGACTTAACCACTTAACTCCAATAAAAGTTTCGACTAGTACTCCGAGAGAGCCTCGTTATGCAATTAGTAGGGCCACCCGTCTTATATCTTACTTATAGCTTGGTGCCTTTTATATGATGTGTGAATATGATGTTTGATATAGGTTCATGCATGGAATAAGCTTTCCATTCTTTCACATTTTGATTCCTCTCCTCATCGAGGTTTTTGGTTTGACAAATTGTCAACATTAATTGATTGACATCAACGTTGCCAACTTCAAATTAATAACGAGAGATTAGAAAGGAAAACAGAAAGAAATTAAGCACGAGTATTTAAATATAATAATAAATAATAAATCTCTTTTACTGAAAACAAAAACATGCATCTAATCTAACTAATTGAAAGAATTGGAATTTACAAGATGGCCATCATATTATTATATATATGTGTGTGTGTGTCATCGTGATGTCATGATGTTGTCATATTTATTTTGCTAAATTTCATTGAAATATTACAAATATTCAAGAACTTTTTACTAGCTTACTTGGGATCAACATTTTTTTGGACTTGTATATAAACCCTCTTTGTCTTTATATCAACATTGTAACCCATAATCATAAAAGCAAAAGGCAAAGAGAATGCATAAGCAGACATCCGACTTTCTTTTTCTAAGTGTTCATAAAGGTTTCGAATTTGAGGACCAAAACCTTAATCAGCCTCATTCCCAAAAAAAAAAAAAAAAAAAAGCAACTTAATGATCATAAAAGTTGAAGATAAACACGAGATTATAACTAAATTCGTCGAAAATCATTCAATTCCCTTAGCCTTTATACTCGTGTATACGTAACTTGATCAAGAAGTAATTAACATTCTGATCGATTTACAATTAACCCCAGATTTTCTTTCATTTAAGTACAAATGAATCAGTAATTTGATATATATATATATATATATATATATACCACTTTTTTAAAAGAAAGATGAGCAATATTCTTATCAACGACCGGTGGTCTTCAACTGTATTTAACTACTATAAATGAAGTAAAGGTGAGGCGAAGAAATGGAAGAACACTTTTCAGCTTTTTTGAATATTTTCTTCCTAAAATAGTAACAAAGTATCAAATTCTTTGAAAAAGAATCACGAAGGCATAGCATGAATAGCAAAAGAACCCTAAAAAGTTTCTTCTGCCTAATGAGGAACAAAAAAACAAAAAAACATACATGTGTAGTTCTATCCACAATTTTTTGAACTCAATATTCATTTGCATGCATAAAACTTTAGAATTAGTGGGAAAATGTTTAGATGACATATACAATAATGATCCTTCTAGCATGCATGGCCTTCATTTTGAGTGAAAGAAAAGAAAGATGCATGCTTTTTCCTCTTGCTAATTACCCGTATTGGGTTTCATCATTATAAGATCTCAACAAAAGAAAGCTAAATAGAATATCAAAGTGCCTTGCATCTTTTACGGTAGCCAGAAGCAACCACCTCATTATACAAACTTAGCTAACGTATAGCTAACAACTCAAAGATTGTTTTTTTCCTCCCAAAACCAATAAACTAATAACCTTTCTCTATCTTAAGCTTTTTGGGTCTATTTGCTAAAGTTCAATCCTCATAGTCACCCCACATGCTACAACAGTTGTGATGACAAGAACAAGAAATTAATCAAAAGGAAATGTTGCAATATCCCTCTCAAGTCACTTATTTTATTTGAAGTTGACGGCCAACAAAAGGAGAAATTATAAAATACTATAATAATATGGTCATGTGGTACATCTTGTACATGTGTTGTAATATGAGTGGTCGATAAGGTCTATTTTCTCCTCTTTTAGGGAATAATATCAATAAATAAATCTACTTATAATATGTATACAAGATGTACCATGTAGTCATACTACTGTAGTATTCTATAATCACTCCAAAAAAACAAAACAAAAAACAAGGGGTAGTCCGTCCTCAAAGCATTCTCAAATAATGTTCATAGAAGGATAGATTGGGGTATAAGCATATGCTTGGTTATTTGAGTAGTTGAATATTTGAGAAGTTTTTAACTACTCATGTTCAACTACTCAAAGGCCACAATTCCAATATTTATATTTTGAAAAGGACTTATATATAAAACAATAGAAATATTATTCCACATGATAATTTGACATATTGTATTGTCATATTTTTAATTAGACGGTGTATTGAGCATACTTTTAGGTAGACTGTCATACTTTGAATGCGCGCCGTTTATTTTGAAAATTTGACAACATAACATGTGATGTATGTATGTAGTAATAACAAAACCCTAAAGAATAATGTTAGAGAGATAGAGAGGGGTGCATAGTGACAGAAATGAACCTGTAGCATCTTGTTGACATTGCTGGCACCAAAAACCTTGTGCACACTGGCAAACTTCTGGGGCTCGTCAGCTGGAAAGTAAGGAGCAAACACGCAATCCTGCGCACATCTCCTTCTCAGAAGCTTGCATGCTGCGCATGGAGACATAGCACCTTGTTTTCTACCACTCTCCTTCATTTCTCCAGCTCTGTTTTTTGTTCTTCCAAAAGCTAAAAGCTTAATTACAATTTCAGGGAGCTATTAATTGAAAAATTGAAAGAAAATAAGGTATATAATTGGCCAAATTTAATTTGCAGGGTGTTGAGAGAGAGAGGGAGGGAAGGGGGCTTGAGGTGAAGGCGTGGTGGAGGTTATATAGACAAGTTGCTAGGTGACAGAAAATCTTTGGAGGGTCCCATAAAAGACGAACCCCTAGATTTTGTTGGACAAAACATCGTTTTTGATAAGATCTTTAGCCCCACAACAATAATATATTTTGTCTCCCTTTTTTTATCTTTTTCCCGCCTCGTATATAAAAGCTTTTATATAGAGAATATAAATTCTTCACAGATTAATGTGGGAAACTCATACTGGATTCCAACAGATTCAATTTATATTTCAAATTAATAAAAGTGATTATATTTTAAAACCATCTAAATGAAAGTTAAGTGAGGGTGAGGCTCATTTGAGGGATACTTTTCTAGGGGTACCCCATATTGTATTTTAATGATCCGAATTATTTAGTTTTTAAATATTCCTTCAAAAATCATTTATGCAAAAAAATCATTTGAATCTGAAGCCGTTTGACCACTCAATTACATGGTTGTTAGTGAAGTCTTTTCTTGAAGCATTGTGTTCGACTATTTTGTTGGTCCAAATCAGATGCGTTAATGATTTTCAATTTGCATGATATCTTAGAAGAATGATCTATGAATGAATACTTGAAAAATAAATGATTTGGATCATTGAAAAAATTTTGAAAAATAATAGATAGCTTCCAAATATTTTAAAATATTTTAAAATCAATTTGAGTAAATAATGCATTGCTTAGTTCATATGATCTTAATCAAGTACAAAGGTACATATGATATACGGAGAGTTTTAAGTGAGGAATTCCAAGGGGATCGATGAACTAATACTTTACTTTTATGATATGATATATATGCGGTATATGCATGTCAGGTCACCCTCCGAGTTGAAGGAAATATGATGAAACGAAAAATATGTTGCTACGTACTTGTCCATGCCAGTTTTCAATGAAAAAATTCTGGTCATTTTTGTTATCTTGTATATGGAGGGTGTTACTTAGAGAGCCATGGTTTTGATGCTATCTTATGCTTTGGTACACCAATTTTATCTTATTGGTTTTTTTTACTATTTAACAACAAAGGACATGCCACAAACCAACAACAAAGAAGAGAATTATTACAAAAAGAAATGAACATCATTTTAGATGACGTTAGATAACCATGTTACTTATTGCAAAATTAATTATTATGATCAAAATGGGATTATCAACTAACTCTTGTAGTGGTATTCACTTTCTAATGATGTTGAAAAATGTGGCAAGTTTGAGTCATCGAGTTGGGGCAGTGTACCGGCACAGTCGAGTTCAAATTTGCTCCCCTTAAATTAAAGTAGTTTGGAATATCATCTTTGTAAAATTTTAAATAAAAATGTCTCATCCCCTATTGATTGAAAAGAAAAACATCGAGAACTGGAGTTTGAAATATTGTCTGTACTTTGTTTTTGAAATTGCATAATCACATATAAGTAGATCGATATTGTGAGGGTCTTGGCCACCTTAAACTTAAATCTACATGCCGACCACCTTAAGAGTACTTTCACCCATTTGTCTTACCATGGCAAAAGAGGGCCTCGGCTAAAATAATAATAAAATAAAAAAATAAAAAATAAAAAATAAAAAATAAAAAAAACCCCACACCAAGCAAATATAGCTCAAGCAAGAGTGGGCTCCATCAAAACCTGGCGAGCCCAAAGACAAGACTAGCCCGCGCTGTTGCCTGAAGGCGCTAATGCCAGTGTTGACGTCATACCAATTTTTGTGTAATAAGTGGAAAATAAAAAATAAATTGCTAAAGCAATCACTATTCACATGAACAGTACCGCCATTGTTTGCCCTTTCTCTTTGTCATGGCAAATGGGTGGAAGGGCATCACCGGATGCATAAAACTTAGGCATGGACACAGAGGATCTTAAGTTAAGGCATGCTCTCTGTCACTAAATACATTAACTTCCTGGTTACTCAAGTGTGATCTGAATCTGAAAATGTGTATGGTTCCTCTCTAGAAATAGTACTCTCAACCTTGAAGACCGAAAAACCAGTGAAAAGCTAGGGCTGATGGTTGGTTTGGTCATTAAAGCTTAATGGCAGGTGATTTCAATCTCTAATACAAAAACAGATATAAGTCAAATTCATATGAACCCAACTTGTTTCTTTATCTTATACGTCTCTGCCTCTGCTGGTTGTTTTCAAAGTAGGTGAAAGCATGCAATATAGTATATACTTCAACCCAACAACTTGGCACGAGTATGATTCATTCCACTGTGGAAAAAGCATGGATTTATGAATTCAAATTACTTTGAGAGAGGGAGAGGTGCAAGAAAGGGTAAAATTAAACTGCATCACTGCATCGATGAGATCAAAATTGGCTGCATAATGCACAGTGTCAGTCCGAGTCATAGTATCATAATAAATCATCCATTATCCTACAAAGTAAATTCACAAGTTTAAAATGGTTGGACAACTACTGCTTAAAAAGTTAAGGAGACACACCCTTCATGGCAGAGAAGGAAAAGAAAAGGTTGTCCCTTCCCTCTCCAATCCTCATAACATATACATGTGGCTAGTATCTAGATAAAATTAATTAAGTAATTAATCTCTTGATTAATCTTAATCTACTTTTGATCTTATTTTAATTGCCTCATAAAATTTCTTAGTGACCCATTTGAAGATCTTGCCAGGAGCTTTACATACACATAGCTTTTTTCTGTGGTGAAACAGAAAGCTAATAATAATAAAAACCCTAATACTAAATTCCAACTGATAAGATATGGATGACAAGATGGGAATCAAATTTTCGCAAATGCAACACACAAACGAACGCTTTGATTAGTGGGAATTTTTTTTTGGCAAAGATCATATCTGATGTATAAATGCTTTGATGATCTCATCAATTTGGAATGATTTTGCAGGCAGGTAACATCAAATGAGAGCGAGTGCTTTGAAACCAAGTGTTTTCTTTTTTCTTTTTTTTTTAGTTCCATGGCTATCCTGCACTATCAAAAGGTATTTAAAATTTAATATATTGATTAGCTAGTCAAATAATTAGTGCTTAGTCTTAAACAAAGCTTATGAGCTAATTAGATTCTTCACATAAATACGGATTAGACGTCTGTGAAAATGTGTAGCGATGGATTCATGCGTACAGAAATCTAACTTGGAGCCCACCATGGGATCGATCCATGAACTTTCTTCATTTTTGTTGCTTTCAGGGGGGAGATTGCGTACATGAAGAACTCGTTTTGGACTGTGCACGTGTAGGTGGACAAACGTGAAGTAAATTAATTAGTATGTCATGTTAATTTTAGCAATTAATTATGAGCTAGTAATGGTCAAGATAATCATAAACATATAATTGACAAAACATTAGCTTTCATTGGATCTAACAGAAATTATTGGTACAATGACACATCAATTGAGAATATCTATGTGACTCATTGCTTAAGATTTACGGTATATAATTTGTAATAGATACTTACATACGCTCCACAATATTTAGATTGAGCTCAAGTATTATAACGCGAGCATGCAAACCAAAACAATTGTCAATAAGTAGATATATTTAATTCATCATTGGATATGTGGGATACTCTCAATATATCTCCTCACCTGTTGCGTCTTTTGCACATAAAAGGTTGACAATCTTATCGGGTGATGTGAGATTATGTGGTATCGTTGGATTTTCCACGTGGATGACCTACTTTCATATCATATTATACTGTGAGCATCCAACTCAAAACTAATTGATAATGAGTGGAGAGTCTCAATATCTTTAAACTCTTAAGCTAAACGTTCCGTTGATACAGAATACTCTCGATACAAAGGAGAATCAAACTCTTGACCTAACATTATAAATCGTTTCCCCACCTTACCCACACCTTCACCACTTGGACTAACCCTAAAGGCTTAATATAGATTTGTCATTTTAATGGCTATTTCATCCACAATAGAAAAAGAAATGTGGGGTATATATAAATGTTTACGTTATGATAATTATGATAAAGTGGATCTTGTCTAGGAAGGACTCCGTCAACAAGTTATAAATTGAAGTTGTAACTTCATGTAATCTTTTCTCCAAATGATATTTCTTAACCACCTTGATGAGTTTTCGTGGGCTGAATCTAGACTTTATATGGATTTGACTTTATATTTATTTATTTTATGAACTTGACTTTCAAGTACAAGTTCCATTATTCGGTGGATTTTTCTCTCAAGCTAAATTAAACAAAAGTCATGTAATTAACTTACTGATTTAGTGGTTGGTTAGTGTCACAAGTTTGTTGGCAAGCTTCCGTAATTTCTTCAAAAGAAAACAGATTTATTTTCTTTGAGGAAAACCTGTATGGCCTGCACCTGTACCAAGGGGACTGTATGTGGTTGAACCAAAAACACCCACAAGGTGAAAATTAAGGCCAGCCGTTCAACTGCCGGCTTCTATGCACTACAATGAACATCACGTTTGCTCCATATCATCCGGCCTCTATTAACCTTCTCACTATATGATTTTTCCTTTCTACATATCATATATGCATGGGATTATGAGCAGTGGCAGATTCATGATTTTTATTTTTTTTGGGAACCAAAAAACACTACTACTAAGTCACTAATAATGAAGATCAAACGACTCTTAAATGTTAAAAAACACAATAATATAAATATGTCCATGCACAAATTAGTAATATAAACTCTGACTTTCTCCTAGTTCTTCTATTACACGGCACGAAGAGAAGAGTGAGAAGAATGAGTCTAGAGAATAAGAAGAATAACATAAGTGTAGGAGAAGAGTATGTTACCCCACTTGCGCTGCCTTAAAGTCTTCTTTGAGGCATTTTATCAAATAACTTGGCCCCATTCAATATCAAATTTCATGAACATTTTTCACAAGTGCCTTCATTGGACCCTTAATAGATCCGCCAGTGGTTATAGGATCGATGCACATTCCTTTTAAGTTCAATGATTGTTTGGTTTCATGACATGA